CTCGTCTCACCGAGAATGATGCTTTTAGGGAGGTACTCTCATCATGCGAATTCTAGACATCTTCTTTTCTCAGCTTGTTTGCACTCACGAGGAGGCCGCTTATACTATTGCGACGTCAAATTTATCCTTCATTCAGAATATTCTTGAGGGGGAAATGTAACCCTTCTCTGAGCTTACTCATAATATGTTTAAGGCTGCTTCTATATTCTCCATTGTCTCTACTGGTCGAGGAGACATCTTGGTTCCAGGTAATTCCACCAAAGAAAAGGGTACCTGGAAAGATAAGTATGAAACTATGGAATTGAGGTGATCCACTCTCTAAGAGGAGCTTGTTGTGCTCCAAGAGAAGTTTAAGACTACCAAATTTTTTCAAGAGGAGGTAAAAATCCTCGAATCTCCTTCCATTATAGATGCATCAAAGCAGATAGGCGATATGATAATGCTTATGATGTTATTAAGGAAAAGACTCGCCAGGTGGATGAGCATCGAAAAACTCTTCTTTGGGAAATTGAGGCTCATACTGAGACCTTGTAAGCTCTCCAAGATGATGTGATCGATCTAAGGTAGGAACTTTAAGATTACCTTTCATGCACTATGCAAGTTATGCCCGAGGTTCATGATAGAATTGTGGAACAGGCGAGGAAGTTCTGCCTTGATGCGAAAATTTCAGTTGAGACATTAGACTCGTTTCAGGATGCTTTATGCATGGCCCGAGAGGATAATCATGGTGCCTCGACTTCAGATGTTTCGAATTGATATTTCTTTTCCTTTGTATTATTTTATTTTCTAGAATGCTTCCCAGGATTTTGTGCCATTGGTCTAATAATTATTAATTTTTATGAAAATTATTTTACCTAAATGATCTAGGTATTACTCAGCTTAGATTTTTCCATTTAGATTCATTTTGTTGTTATTATTATGTTGCATCTTTGGTTGTTCTTTCATCATACATAAAAAAGTTTGTTTACTTAGGCCGGACCGCCAGCGTCCATTGGATGTGACGTGATACCTGTTTTGGGTGTGAGAACCCCAACCTCTAGCTTTACAAGGGAATCAATTCATTTTATTGAAATAAAGTGATATATATATATATATATATATATATATATATATATATATATATATATATATATATATATATATATATATATATATATATATATATATATATATATATATATATATATATATATATATATATATATATATATATATATATATATATATATATATATATATATATATATATATATATATATATATATATATATATATATATATATATATATATATATATATATATATATATATATATATATATATATATATATATCACTTTATTTCAATAAAATGATATATGCCTCTTTAGTTTTCCCACTTTTGTAATTTGCAACTTAACACGTTTAATGATGTTAGCCATCGCTTTTAGTTACTATGTTTGTTTGTTGTATTTAGCGTTTGTAGCAGTAGTGTATTTATTTGTGCATTACATTTTTTGAGTTTCCTGTGTTCCATAGGACAAAGCCTAAGACTGAAGAATTTGGCGTGATATGATCGTATCTTTGAATTGTGCTCCATGTCACAGAGGAGCATTCCCCGACCAAGGGTACAATCCCCGTCCATGCCCCCGAGGCTAGGCTTCGATCGAGGTGGACCACTTAGAGCTCCACTGCCTATGCCTTTGGATTGGCTAGATCTTAAAGGGGTGCACCAGCTATGCAGAAATGTGTTCAGTATGCCTCAAATGAGAAGTCATGCGAGGGATGCATTTAAGTCATATCATAATCACATAAATGTATTATGTTTGTATCGGATATGCAATTAGGCATGGAATGCGTTTAAGTCATGTTAGAATCACATAAATGTGTTAAGTCTGTATTGGATACGCAATCATGCAAGGAATGAGTTTAAGCCTTGTCACAATCGTAGAAATGTGTTAAGTTTGTATCGCATATGCAATTATGCGAGGAAATGTAGCTTCACACTATATATTTTACGTCTGCACATCATTGAGTGGTTATCTTCATCAAGGACGTATTTTAAGGACGATATGTGTTCAGTATGCCTCAAATGAGAAGTCATGCGAGGGATGCATTTAAGTCATATCATAATCACATAAATGTATTATGTTTGTATCGGATATGCAATTAGGCATGGAATGCGTTTAAGTCATGTTAGAATCACATAAATGTGTTAAGTCTGTATTGGATACGCAATCATGCAAGGAATGAGTTTAAGCCTTGTCACAATCGTAGAAATGTGTTAAGTCTGTATCGCATATGCAATTATGCGAGGAAATGTAGCTTCACACTATATATTTTACGTCTGCACATCATTGAGTGGTTATCTTCATCAAAGACGTATTTTAAGGACGATTGTTGAAACTTAAGGACCCTGAAGTTTCCTTTGTCTAACATTTTAGTTAGGTGTCTTCTGATTATCAGGGCTGAAACCTCCCAGTTTCTTTCTTAATTCTAAGTGGATATCTACCTTAAAGGGTCAACAGATGGCTGAGAGTCTACTTATAAGCCATATGACCTGGTGTTCGGCTCCCTTGGGATCCAGAAGGATGGTTGTATGAAGGTGAGGCTCCTTGGAATGATAAATCTTCGACCTTCGTGAGTGGAGCTCAGTCTGCTCTTATTATCCAGTGATTTTTTTCAAGGGCCAGTGATCCTGGATGATGTCGATCGATGGATCATAGGTGGATGTCGACCTAAAGACCTCTTAAAAGGGACATGGTATCTTTTTTTTATATTATAATTTGGGATAATTTCCAAGCATTTTGATGTGGATTCGCCTCTTGGTGGAAACTGCTGCCTTTACCTGGGAATATGGGGATATAACTTACTCAACGATATAGCTCCTCGATCGGTTCTATTCATTGATGCCCTGCCCCTGGGTCATATGGAAGGGGTATTTCATCAGTAGGCCGCACCCAGAATCAACTACTCTCTTGACTTAAGTGATGAGAAAAAATGCAACAGAGTCAGCCTGATCAATTGCGGCCTAACGAACCTGGTCTGAGGCCGGATGAAGATCCCTTGGTACCTATAGAAGGAGTTTCAGTGTTGTATTTATTTCTAACATTAACTATGACCTCGTCATATTTTCGATGAAATTAATTATGAACTTGGCGTATCTTTGTCATCTCCCTAACATGTATCGTGTTAGCGGTGGAGGACAGTAGATATGTTAGATTGGAAGACTGACCTTGAATCTATGACGTTATCTTCGAGGAACTAACCTCTATTTTCTAGCGATTCTATCGCAAATCTAGACCTTGATCTAGGATCCTTTCTTCTTCTTTTTCGTAGAGTTCCCACGGGAAATCAGAGATCTAGGAAATCGTCACTGAAACGATAATTGTCTGGATCGAATGAGACGGATCTCCACATTCGAATTTGAATTCTCTAAATTCAATTATCTAAGAAGGTTACGAAGTGGGATTTCGAAGATTGAATATAAAATCACAACAATCTAGATCTAGAACTTCCATGTTTGCATGATGGAGTTGGAAAGCAAACGCGAATTCGTCAAAATCGTATAAATCAAAGTCGATTTCCACAGCAGGCGTCACTGTTCCATTTAGGAACTAGAAATGGAAGTAGTTGGATAACTGACGATCTTGAATGATGGTGTTGATCTCCTTTACAGCTGCGCAGGGTGGACTTGCATAGTTAACACTCCAACACCCAAACCAGTTCAAGATTCAAGATGAGTGTATTGAAAAGTGAATATCATTGAATATACATTGCTCTTTACATGTGGACTGATTTTATACCTTGTGTCAAATGGAGCGAATTTGAGATGAATTATGCCTTTTGTCGGTCTAGAACACAAACTTTCCATAAAACTCTCATCCACAAAATGAGTTGGAGTGAGATTCTTAACATCAAAGTTTCGGTGAAACCCATCTTCTTGTTTTTGGAGTAAGATTCATCGACAAAGTGAGTTGTCAGTGTCATTTTAACAAATTCTAGGAGAGGTAAGCGTAATTTTCCCAAAAATTTAAAACTAATAAAAAATATTAAATTAACTAAAAGAAATATATTTAAAAATAAATAACTATATTAATTAATTATAAAATTAAAAATAACTAATAAATGAATTAAAGATTAAAAATCTAATTAAACCTAAAATATTTGATAACACAACACAAGTGTACTTTACAATTAAGATGTATTACAATCAAGAATTAATTAGCCAAGTTAAATTACGAGAAATGATATTCTTACACCAAATAATAACACTACCCTGTATTTCACGTTCATCAATACAATAAAAAGTGAAATGTTATTATTTTTTTAAATATAAAAAATTATTATTTTTTATTTTAAAATTAAATGATATTGATATAAAATTGTATGATTAACTAATTTCATAACATCATTAACCAACATTTTACATGTTATTAACTAATTTTATTTCATACTAAAAAATATTTTTAATATCTAGACGTTTAATAATTAACTTCACAAGTTCATTAATCAATTTTTTACTTTTCATTAACCAACTTTATTTTATTATTAAAAATCATTTTTAATATCTAAATGTTTATTAACCAACTTTATTTTACTACTAAAAATTATTAATATCTAAATATTTATTAACCAACTTCATCAATTCATTAACCAACTTTTTATATTACATTAACTAATTTTATTTCATTATTAAAAATCATTGTTTACAAACACTATTTATGTTACTGCTCATAATATATATTTTTTATTTAAAAAAAATATTATTCACCCTATAAAGTGAACAACTTATACAATATAAATATTGTGTCTAGGTATACTGTGTAAGTATTAGTTTTCTTTTAAACTAACCAAGGTGGTGTGTACGATTACAAATATATCAAACGAGGACAATGACAGTTTGTTTCTTTTCAAATTTTGTACGTATTCTTTTTCAACAGCACTAACACTCTTATATATAAGTAGTAATGCATAGCAGAGCTACTAATATAGCAATTCAGATCCAGAGATAGAACACAAATGGCTGGTGGAGGATTCACCATTGATGCACCTTCCCATGGCTTCCATGGGAAAATAACACTCTCAGTTGTCATTACTTGCATCGTTGCTGCATCCAGTGGACTCATTTTCGGATATGATGTCGGAATTTCAGGAGGTGTTACAACAATGGTGCCATTTCTTCAAAAATTCTTCCCGGACATTCTAAGAAAATCAGCTGGTACTGAAGTAAACATGTATTGTGTGTATGACAGTCAATTATTGACATTATTTACGTCTTCTCTGTATCTTGCTGGATTAGTTTCAATTCTCTTAGCAAGCAAAGTCACTGGAACTATCGGTCGGAGAAACACGATCATATTGGGTGGTGCCATCTTTTTTGCTGGTGCTTCCATCAACGGAGGTTCTGAAAATATTGCCATGCTCATCGTTGGTCGGATTCTTCTCGGTTTCGGAGTTGGTTTCACTAATCAAGTAAGTTAACACATTTAACAATACTAGTCCAACATAAAATTGCCTAATTACGATGACAATGACCCTAACGATTATTTTATAATGGTCTAAGGCGACGCCTCTATACCTTTCAGAAATTGCTCCGGCTAAATGGCGAGGTGCTTTCAGCACAGGCTTTCAGTTCTTTGCAGGAATCGGCGTGGTTGCTGCCCTCTGCATAAATTACATGACTGCCAAGCACGCGTGGGGATGGCGACTCTCTCTTGGGCTAGCAGCGGTTCCTGCAGCCGTGATGATGATTGGCGCGTTCCTGATAACCGACACGCCCAGCAGCTTGGTTGAACGTGGCAAGATAGACCAAGCTAGAAAAGCATTGATCAAAATCAGAGGATCTTCAATTGATATTGAACCTGAATTAGAAGAACTCATTAAGTTTACAGAAATCGCGAAATCAGTGCAACAAGAGCCTTTTACGACCATATTTAAGAGACAGTATCGCCCTCACTTGATCATGGCGTTCGCGATCCCATTGTTCCAACAGTTTACTGGGATCAACATTGTAGCTTTCTATTCACCTAACCTCTTTCAATCTGTGGGTTTGGGACATAACGGTGCTCTACTTTCCGCTCTCATACTTGGACTCGTCAATCTTGCTTCTATCTTAGTCTCTACTACTTTCGTTGATCGGTTTGGTCGAAGATTCTTGTTCATTTTAGGTGGCATTCTAATGCTTGTTTGCCTGGTAAACAAATTAAGCACAGACCTTGCATTTTTGTTTTTCGAAATTTCATTCGTTAGTTCAACTATAATTTGTGGTTTCACTTTGAAAGATTGCAGTGTCTGCTTTACTAGCTATGGTGACTGGTGTTCATGGCACAAAGGAGATATCAAAGCAAAATGCAAAATTGGTATTGGTGTTACTGTGTTTCTATGCTGCAGGTTTTGGTTTTTCGTGGGGGCCACTTACCTGGTTAATTCCGAGTGAAATTTTTCCCTTGAAAATCAGATCAACAGGACAAAGTATAGCAGTTGGAGTACAATTCATAACCTTGTCTGTGTTATCACAGACATTCTTAACAATGCTATGTCATTTTAAGTTTGGTGCTTTCTTGTTCTATGCATTTTGGGTTGCAGTGATGACTCTATTTATTATATTTTTCTTGCCTGAGACTAAAGGAATTGCTTTGGAGTCGATGTACATCATATGGGGGAAACATTGGTTTTGGCGGCGGTTTGTTAAAGGAGAAGTTGACAAGAACAATCTTCCATGAAGTAAATTATAGTACTATAACTAAATAGTTAATGCAAAGTTATTTGTATGCAAATTAAAAGATGATGACTGTGTTGATGTAGAAAAACTCAAGCAAAATAATTGCTTACCACCATATCATATTAGTGTGTATTATATAAGTTTAGACAATCAAATTTTGTGTTGGGGTGCTTCTTCTATTACTTATTGTTACCATTTTTACTATGATATATTTTTAATGCATTTGTAAGTTTGAAGATCAAAGGTGCTTAACTCTTGGGAGCGAGTCACAAATTGCAAGTTGATTCACTATGCAGCAAGTTAAAAGAGAAGCAAGTTATAGAGTTGAAGGTCTGTTGCAAGAAAAAAATTCAACTCAAGGATGAGCTACTGTCACTCAAATAATATGTAATAAATGATCTCTATATTAGACTCTTTTTAAACTTTATTTTAGAATGAAAGACTTTTCTTAATGTTGATATGTTCCCGTGACTCTTGCTTAAAGTTTCAAATTTCATTTTAGCTTATATGTTTTGTTTTTCTATTTTCAAATATTGAAATTTTAATTCTCCTATTTAACAAAAAAGAAGATTTTTTTGTCTTTCTAATTGAAATTTTAATTCTCCATACTCGAGTTCATATCTGCGTGGGCACCAACGTTTATATTCGTACTCATACATTATGAGTACCTAAGTGCTCATGCACATACCCATTTACCCTCATTTTTAATAAAAAATATTGGATCAATTATAATTTATCATGTCATTTTAATTCTTTATCAACAAATAAAAAAATTTGAGGAAGTTATTGTTGAATTAAGAAATAAACAAACATTTATATTAAAGTACGTAGAAATTTAATAGTGATATATTTAACAAAATTTTAGATTAACACATTTACATAATAATGAAAATAAAAATATATAAGTATATATCGTGCGGGTATTGGGCGGACTGGGTACTAAGATATATACCCGTACCAACCCCCTTACCTGCTTATTTTAATGGGCAATTGTCCGTCTTTGTGCCCGTACCCACTTTGCGAGTTTTTACCCTATCCGTTGTGGGTAAATTTTGTAGGTACCCACTAGGTATGGGTACAATTGTCATTCCTAGTTCTATTTTTAACCAATGTGAAATTTGAGTTTTTCCCAATACACTCACTCACGCCGAACACTATTGGACTTGGTGCGTGGACTGTTTGTAATGATAAAATTTTCTCTAGTTCATTAATAAATGTGAAAGAAGTGGTAGATAGAATTATTTTTTAGCTTGATGCTAGATTTTTAACAGAACCCCTGCGAGCTCTATTTTTTTACAGATTGATTTCAAAACCTTATCATGTGTTTTAATCAGTAGTAGATCATAACTCATGAACTCTCCCCTGGGTGTTAGTGGTCTTGTTCAATGTTTTACTTGCGTTTTCATCTATTGTTGGTGAATTTGAATTTTGAACTCTAGCTTAGTCCCTATTAGATGATGATTCTTGTGCGGGGGGTTTTCTTGATTTCCATTTTTCCTTCTTTGGTTGAATTTGGTGTATTCAGTGGTTGTTTTATCTTTGTTTCTTTTGATATTCGTTGGTGTATTTTTGTAAGTTGCAGCTTGTAACACCCTTCTAACCCAACAAGTATTTCACATAACATGCAGAAATTAAATCAATCAAATCACCACTCAAGGGTGTCACACTTCATGAAAATATCATAAATAATATCCTGCTCCGTAACACGGTTTTTAAACATTTATAATAATCATTTTTTTGGTAACAACAACAAATAAATTCAAACTTCACAGTAGAATTATAGTTACAAAATAACTTTATTGATTTCATCAAAAATCAAGAACTTTTGGTCATCGGCAAAAGTCGTCATCAGATAATTCAGCGTATTAGAAAACTCATCAGATAGGTTTAACAAAACTACACAACTTCAACTCAAGCGTTTCCCCCACCCAATGTTACATGTTAGAGCAAGAGACATATATTATTAACAGAAACACAAATAAATAACTCCAAAGCTATCACCGATGATTCTCCAAGCTATTCCTGAGAATCGGCATGTTACCCACGTGGAGGCAACATTCAAACAGGCAGGGTGAGTAATCATGAATTATTATAAAATATATAAAGAAAAGATATACCAGTACAATAACATCAATAGTTCATTCACACCGTCATAGTATCGTCAAACCAAATAATCATCATCGTCACACATCACTTAGAAATCACATCATCAATAACATCATCGTCACACGTTAATTAGAAATCACCTCATCATTAACATCGTTTACATCACTTAGAATTCCACACATCATCATTTACCAAGTATTATGCTCACACCTTTCTATCATAGTAAGATATATACATCTTCATCATAAAATCATCAAATCAACATTCATCACCAAAACATCATTTAAGTCACAACATCATCAAACATCATTTTAACCTTCAATTATGCAATACCACATAGTATGACATGCAACAACATAGACTCATGCATGTGGTATCAAACTTATCATGTTGATGGACTGGGCCATCGCCCTCCAAAGATCCCCACCAATAGGATCGATTCTACATAAGAACCGGAGCACGTCATAAACACCCCAATCCAAACAATGGGATTGAAGCCACTACTGGACCGAAGTCCTAACATCATCACTGGACCGAAGTCCTAAAGTATACTATAAGTGCATGATGCAAAATGTCATAATAATCATCATCAAATCATCGTCAAAGTTGCATCATCATTCATGAAAATTCATCAAAACATCATAGTATGACATCATTATTATGTGTCACAATTCTTCACATTACTCCACAAATCATCATGTGTTATTCACCAAAATACATCACATCATTTACTCAAGGCATACGAATAACAAGACACAAGACAACATAAAAAATAAGAAACATTTGCTCTGACTCGCTCGCCTGGGTTTTGCCCAACAAAGGAGGGGCGAAATCCCCCCATACAAATCCCAGTAGCATTGTTATTTCAACCTTTGCTCGCTTCTCTTTTTGCACGGCGAGGACCAAGCGAATACACTTCGTCTGGCGAAACAATTCCTCGACCGGAGATTTCCTACGAACAGCAACCTGCGGTTGCGTTTTCTGCATACGAAAACCCTTTCCACCATTTTTCCGAAGACCCAATTTTCACCAAGAAATGCACAACATATTTTTACAGGTTCAGTACCAATCATATGTACAATCTCAAGCAATTACCAACACCCAATTCATCACATCAAATTATCAACATAATCATACAATTTCATCATGTTTTCATTAATCAAGACATAACACACAAAACTTACATCTACCTTAAACCCCATATCAATTATAATATTTTGGATCACCCACCATACCTCGAATTCTTAGCTATTGACTTCTTTCTCTGTGTTCTACAGATTATCTCCTCGGTTCTCTGTGCTCTAGCTCTCCCTTCTCAATTCTTTCCGACTTTTCACGATCGTACAAGAGTGAACTTCTCCAATCTCTCCTTTTCCTTTTGTCACTCTTACCCCTTGGACCCCTAATATGTCTTTCCAACTTTATCCTCGCACAAATGGTCACTTTGCCCCCTCCTTTTTATTTAAAATAATAATAATAGTCTAAATAATATTATTCACATTATTCCACTATTATTATTATCAAAATAATTATAATAAATCATACACTTCTAAATATCCTCAACACCTTCTTAATGTCAACAATACCTCCCAACACAAATCATTAGACATCAAAATATTTCACCAAAATTCACTGAAAATCACAAATATTTATAATAAATTAATTAAATAAATATTCTAATTATTTTGGGGCGTTACAACGCTCCCCCACTTAAAGAATTTGCGTCCTCGAAAATTACCTGAAGGAAACAGAGTTGAATACGACTCTCTCATCTGATCTTCACGTTCCCAAATCCAACTTTCACCAGCTGGTCCACCCCATAACATCTTCACCAAGGCTATGTACTTACCCCGTAGTTACTTCATTTCTCGCCCATCAATCTGCATAGGTAATGCTTCAACAGTCAAGTTATCCCTCACCTGTACATCATCCATCTAGATCACATCCGACGGATGTAGAACGTATTTGCTCAACATAGACACATGAAATACATCATGAAAATTCGCAAGTGATGGCGGTAAAGCAATCCAATAGGGTACCTCTTCTATCCTCTGCATAATCTGATACGGACCAACAAAACATAGAGTGGGCTTCCTAGATTTCAAAGCTCGACCTACACCAGTCACCGGAGTAACTCTCAAAAACACGTGATCTCCCTCTTAGAATTCAAGTCCATTCCTTCTCTTATCGTGATATCTCTTTTGACGACTCTACGAAGCTCTCATCCTTTCTTGGATTATCTTAATCATTTCGGTCATGTCTTGCACAATCTCAGGCCCGATTACAACACTCTCGCCTTACTCATACCAACAAAATGGAGTTCTACACCTTCTACTATATAAAGCTTCATACAACACCATCCCAATACTAGCATGAAAACTATTGTTGTAGGTGAACTCAATCAACAACAAACGGTTATCCCAAGATCCTTCTTGATCCAACGCACAAGTCCTTAGTAAATCCTCTAAAGACTGGATAGTCCTCTCTGTCTGACCATTCGTCTGCTGATGATATGCAGAACTCATCCTCGACTTAGTACCTAAAGCATCTTGTAAACTTTTCCAGAACCTCGACGTAAATCTCGAGTCTCTATCCGATACAATACTTGAAGGTATCCTATGCAACTTCACAATTTCGTCAATGTACATCTCAGCTAACTTCTACATATAACTATTAATCTTCATCAGTAAGAAATAAGTCGATTTAGTTAATCTATGCACAATCACCCAAATTGAATCATTCCCCTTCGCAGTCTTCGGCAATCCCGACACAAAATCTATAAAAGTACTATCCCATTTCCATTCTGGAATATTCAACGGTTTCATCATACCCAAAGGCTTCTGATACTCAATCTTTGACTTCTTACAAGTTAAACATGCGTAAATAAACTCTGCA